AGAAGAGGAGCATATTTTGTCTTCCTGGACCTCCTATAATCCACAATGACCTCCTTAGTCTTGTTGGTGTTCAGGACAAGATTGTTATCTGAACACCACCTTGTCAGGTGCTGGATCTCCTCTCTGTAGTGAGTCTCATCATTGTCTGAGATGAGACCCACTATGGTGGTGTCGTCTGCAAACTTAACTACTGTGTTTGTGGGGTAAATGGCATCACAGTCATGGGTAAACGGAGTGAAGAGAACTGGGCTGAGCACACAGCCCTGTGGTGTGCCTGTGTTCAGGACCAGTGTGGATGATGTGCAGCTTCCGATTCTCACCACTTGAGGCCTGTTAGTGAGGAAGTCCTTAATCCAATGACATGTCATTGCAGGCATTCCCAGATTGTGCAGTTTCAGTGCAAGTTTGTCTGGGATTACAGTATTAAATGCCAAATTGAAGTCAACAAATAGCATCCTGACATACTGTAAGTGTTAGGATGCTCCAGGTGGGACAGAGCTGTGTGTAATGCTATTGAGACAGCAACCTCTGTTGATCAATTCTCTCTGTAGGCGAAATGATGGCTGTCCAGACCAAGAGGGATGACGTCCTTGATGTGCTTTAGAATGATCGTCTTAAAGCACTTCATAATTACTGGTGTCAGAGCAACAGGGCTGTAATCATTGAGGCAGGTGGCAGCTGATTTCTTGGGCACAAGCACAATGATGGAGGACTTGAGGCACACAGGGACTGAAGCAAGATGCAGGGACAGGTTAAAAATGTCCAAGAAAACTCCTGCCAGTTGGTCAGCACAAAGCTTCATAACCCAGCCTGACACCCTGTCTGTTCCCGCAGCTTTGTGTTGATCCTCAGGGTGGAGCTCACCTGAGGGAGTTGTACAGTTCCTCTGCTGCCAGGTGTATGGAAGCGTGCAAAAAAACTATTCAGAGTGTCAGGGAGGGTGGGATCATGGCTGACCTGATTGTTGTTGCCTCTGTAGTCTGTTATTGTTTTGATGTCTCTCCACATACTCTGTGTGTTATTCTTAAAGTGCCCCTCAATGCGCTGCTTGTACCTGCGTTTGGCCAGCCGGGTGTCCTTCTTTAGTTCTTTCTGGGCCCTGCTGTAGGCCAGCCTGTCACCTGTTCTGAAGGCAGCATCCCGAGCTTTGAGCAGACGTGACACTGTACTGTCCAACCATCG